CCTCTTCCCAGGTAACAGAACTGCATGTCGGACCCTGTCTCCTGCCTCCTGCGTGAGAGGCCTTGAGCTTTGCGAGGGCCTGGTGTTGAGGTGGGGAGGAGGGTGTCAGACCTGGCTGAGGGAGCTGTAACTGGGTCCTCCTTACCCACGTATATGTCCGGCGTGCGTGTGTCCTGGAGGTTAAACAGCTAACTCACTGTTGGCGTCAGCATGTCACTTCTACCTGCTGGGCCCTAGTTTCTTCAACTGTTAAAGCTGAGGGATAGTCTAGATCAGAGTTTTCAAACTGTCCCTCAAAGGTGCTTCAGGGACACTGCAAATATTTGAGTATCCTGAGACTGTAGGACAACTACTTTTGTGCAAATAAAGATTTCCTGGTACTGTACCACTGAAGGAGCCCCTGGTGGTGCAAAAGATTAACATGCTTAGCTGTTAACCAAAAGGTTGGAGGTTTGAGTCCGCCCAGAAGCACCTCAGAAGAAAGGCCTGGTGATCTACTTCCAAAAAATCAGCCATTGAAAACCCTGTGAAACACAGTTCCACTCTACAACACATGGGATCACCATGAGTCAGACTCGACTTGATGGCAACTGGCTTGGTGCCACGGAGACAAAAACTACATGGAGACAATGGATGTCGGGGCTGGTAGAAGATTGCAACTGTCACTTACATCTCTTGATTTCCAATTTTTGTGTTCATCCAACCATCTCAGTGGTTTAATATCCACCATCACTTGGATGTCACCATTTATCAAAAACTTATTAGGTACCAAGCACTATGCTAAGCATTTTCTCTTCAGTCTTCCCTTGACTTAATGAGCTAGTGATTTTGAGCTCCATTTTGCAGATGAGGCAGAGATGAAATCATGTGTCCCAGGCCTCTGAGCACCTTAATTCAAATCCAAGTCTCCCTGAGTACATGCAGTTAACCACCATGATATACTTCCTGTTATAAAATAGATGTATGCCAATTAAATGCGGCCTTTATCTTTTGTATATTGGGGTTCCATGTGAAATTTCATGACAGGAGAGGATCATAGAAAAACCACTGGACCAGATAATCTGTGACTCTCTTCCAGCTCTTCAGGGAGGTTTTGAAGGGTCCAGCCTCTGCTTACTCGGGCCTTCCTAAGATGATGGGGCAGAGGTGCAGGGCTTTGAGAAGCATGGCAAGGTGGCCTCTTCCCCATGGTATTCCTCTGGCCTGGCCCACTGACCTCTATGCCAGGCCTCCCCTAGTCTCATGAAGAATCAGGGTTGTACACCAGTGTTCACTGCAGCACTGTTCACAAAAGCCAAAAGGTGGAAATAACCGAAATGTCCATCAGCAGATGAATGGATAAACAAAATGTGGCATACTGTATTTTTACAAAAATAACAGTTGCCATCTACGTTTGCCAACATGCCCTCCCCCCATGAGTTTTTCTCATAAGCGCGCTATGCTAATTTTTTTATAGCAACATGTAAAAAAACATGCCATAGCGGCGCTTATGAAGGACCTCATGGGGGGCAGGGGGAGGCACAGTTGGCAAACAAACGTAGAAGGCATGCGTTATTTGTGTAAAAATACAGTATACACACAACGGAGTATTACTCAGCCATAAAGGGAAATGAAATCCTGACACGCTACAACATGGATGAACCTTGGAAACATTAGGCTGAGTGAAATAAGTCAGTCCCAAAAGGACAAACATTGTATGATCCCACTTGTATGAAATAGTCAAATGTATAGAGACTGAAGGTTATTAGTGGTTACCGGGGGGCGGGGGGAAGGGGGAGTCTTAGCTTAGAGGGCACTGAACTTCTGTTAATGGTGGTGGAA